TAGACATGAAAACTCCTGGGGGTAAAGAAGTTCTGGAATAGATTACATAGACTATTGCAAAAAGTTTTAATAATTAATTCACAATATCCTTTGCAAGCAAAATTTATTAGCAAGGACACAAGAACAATTAGAGATAAACTCCGAAGGTCTCCAGAGATCCTTCTTATGATTGTGTCATAAAAATGATAGGCTGAAATTATTTCTAAATTTTACTCCTGGGGGTAAAGAAGTTCTGGAATAGATTACATAGACTATTGCAAAAAGTTTTAATAATTAATTCACAATATCCTTTGCAAGCAAAATTTATTAGCAAGGACACAAGAACAATTAGAGATAAACTCCGAAGGTCTCCAGAGATCCTTCTTATGATTGTGTCATAAAAATGATAGGCTGAAATTATTTCTAAATTTTTAGGTTACAAATATGTCTATAAGAGCCTTGCCTTGAATTTTGGGGGTGAATAGTAGGGGAAGTTATCATACAACTCTGTAGCATCATGTGACAGAAAATATAGTCTTTCTTGCTGGTATTGTCTCTATTTAAAGTATATCATTTTCAGAAAAGTGTTTCTCCAGCTTGCAATGGCTAGATGCTAAATATTAATAGCAGATACCATAAATTTTTTGCATTGGTTTCATTTATTTTTGGCACAGTCCATTCAGGATATTGTATTACAAGCACAGGGGATTTCCATGAGAAGAGTTATGAAGGTAACTCCAATGCAACATGGAAAATTTGAGAAGCATATTCATGTGTTCTGTTTCTCCCTTCTTTTCCCTTCCTGCAGTAGAGATCCTAGTTCAGCTATGGAAGCAAAAATTGAATAATATCTCAGCTCAAGCATCATAAGGAAAGTTATGAAAGCAAATCTCCTGATTTTGTTCTGGGATGTGTGTGACTATTGTGACTGACTAGACCCGCATTGTAATACACCACTGTCTTATTAAGGCTCCCCAGTAATGAGGCATATAGCAGAACAGGGGAGGACTCTTCAGTTTAAAGGCAGGTTTGCAAGGTGGCACTTAAAGAACAAGAATATATTTTATGGCATGGCATTTCAGAATGTTACATTTTGTGACAGTAGGACTTAGGAAAGAGTTCATCTGGTCTTTCTGGTAACACTCCATCTGAAGTCATAACCATGCATATAATACCATATTTTATTCTGGAGGTGGTTATGTTACAATAGATTTTTATGATCTGTCTAGTTAGACAGGTAATATTTACCATATTGCATCTGAGGCTTAAAGTAGAGTATAGCAGGA